ATCTGACATTCTGGCACCACATGATTCAAACATAGATTCTAACGCATAAGTCTGTTGACTATTTTGCGTGTTGTATATGCCACTATGGTTTAGATCAGGTGAGATTTCATCAGTTGACGGTATTTGGTTAAATGTCCCACCAATGCGATCGCACTTCATATCGCACAACTTCTTTACTACTGCGAGAAAGCTAATTTATGCAGCCTGCTCGATTCAGGCAGGCAGATTTCTTATTGGTTGAAATTAACAAAGCCAAGTCTACGAGTCCAGCCGTGAGGTCGGGAGAGGAGTGCGGGCTCCTTTCCCGAACAGCGGCTGGTAATCGAGCCTATACTGCCACGGTCTATTGATCTCTACTAAGCGATTAGATCATGAGCTCGAGACTTCTATCACGCATAGAAATCGAGAGCGAATAATCTAATTTTTTAGTATAAATCTACTATTCGTTCGTAACTTTATCTAAATCCTCTTCACAGACACTTCGAAAATGCCAAGAAGCGGCCGTCATTTTGTTAACAAGCGCACACTGCTACGCTACTCACTATCTATCAAAGAATAGATAGTAAGTAGCGTAGCCAATCAGAGAACGGCATTCGAGGTAGAACGCTCTTGATCTCTGTTAAGACCCTGGATTAAGACTGTTCACTTTGATTATGCTTTAGATGTCAAAGCGTCTTTGGATGAAAGTTACACTGTGTGTTTCATATTGATAACCGTGGTAATTCCTGTGCGCGTGGAAAATTACGAACCGTATCATGCCTCGCTCATGTCACAAACAAGGTACACTGTTCACGTGGTCCATAACTTGAGACCTGGTTGAGTGCAGAGGTGAAGTAATCAAATGCACTTTCTTGTGACTTATCACGCAACAGTGTTGTACTGCAAGTTGAACAACATGCTGCTGTGGCGGATCTGGGGGAAGGGGTCCGGGGGGTCGGGTCCCCCCTTATTTTGTGTAAAAAAAGAAAAATCACAGAAGGAAGGAAAGCCGGCCGGACAAGCAAAAACGAACCGCCCCTCCCCCTATTTCCCTCCTCTTAGCTCAAGGTCTGGATCCGCCACTGCGCTGCACAAAGTTGAACGCATTTCTACATGCATGTATATGTAATAACTTGGTCAAACTTGCTACTTTGCGGGTATACACCGGGGTATCACTTGCAAGACCAGTTGCTAGAAAATGCTGTTCGTATTACTTGGCTCTAAGCATTTTTAACCAAAAAAGATTAGGAAATTTATTTTAAAAAAATAACTGGCACGCGCCGTGATGAGGTGATTAATAGAGACTTTGTTATCGTCTTAGTTTTCAGGAACGCGTTACCAAACTCATTAAATATTCTAACACCGGCCGTGTGTGAGTGAACCTTGACCGGGCTCTTAATTTGGACAAAGAGAAGATTTCGTGCGATAAATTAAGGGGCATGAGGTGAGAATTATGTCTATTTTTAAATAAAAGAAAAGCTAAGCTACGTGCTATAGTTTTCGATTTAGCTGAATATATTTTTAACTAGTGGGAAATGTCCCACAAATTTTCAATGCTCTATAAATAAATTGAAGTCTTCAAAATGTATTTATAATATCGGGTTGCGCCGATCACGTGGAAAACACGCAGTCATCATACAGCGCAACTTGAAGTCACGTTTGTGAAAAATGGAAGTCACGTTGTGGGGAGGACTCTTGGTTTGTTTTTATCTCTTCGCTTAGACCGACCCTTCTGTTTATTAAACTTTTCAGGACGTAATTGTTCAAATTTTGACCAGATTCTCGTAATTTTCTTGTTCCCGCATCTCCACGTGTATTCAACAAGAGCTCAGAAAGAACTTTGCCCTAAAAATGTAAGCGATTATTTGCATACAAACCAGGCATACAAACATAGGGTGCCGTCAAATCACAATGCATTCCGGTTGGCTGGCTGATTCCCATGTGACTAATGAATATAAATAACTTGTTCATCGCATTCTGCGAGATATTACTTTCGTTCCCTAGCGCGGGAAGGTAAGAAAGATATGCGGAAATTCTACTTGGGCTTATTCGACTTACTCACGAGATTGTCTTTTCTTGTAGATCAAAAACTCTCCAAACGATTCCATTCACTGCCAGAAAAATGACGGAAAGCAACCCTATTCTCGACAAGTACATGAGCCTTGATCAAGGCGAGCGAGTCCAAGTCTTGTACGTTTGGATTGACGGAACCGGCGAAAGTATGCGCTGTAAAACAAAAACTGTGGAAGAAGAACCGATGGCACCCGAAGACCTTCCAATCTGGAATTTCGACGGCTCTAGTTGTTATCAGGCTGAGGGCTGTAATAGTGACGTTTACCTTCATCCAGTCGCTTTATTCCGAGACCCTTTCAGACGAGGAAAGAATAAGATAGCGCTGTGTGAAACCTACAACTTCGATCACAAACCTGGTGTGTCAAACCACCGATCATCATGTCTTAACGCCATGGAGAACGAGAAAGTGAAGGTTTGTAATACGTTTGTAATTCATTCATACATGACTCGATCAAATCTATTTCGCCATCCCGCCTTTTTAGTTGTTGTATTTCTAATTTCCTCGCGACCTCAGACACGTTGCCTGTATTTTATTTTGCCCTGTTTTTTCTTTCTGGGCTTGTCGCCGGGTAAATTTCGCTGAAATTAGGCAGACTACATCAGTGGGTAATTTCCAGTAAATTTGTTCGAAATTGTTCGAGTGAAAATTTGTATAATTTCCCGCACATTCTATCTCTGAAATGAATACACGTGGTTGTGAAATAACTGATGACCTTGAACCTTTGGAAGGAGTAATTGGTTTTCAGCGGATATCACATAGGCCAGCGATACATAAGCTTCCGTAATGAGAAGCTCACACGGCGTAAACGTCCTAAGTCATTCGCAACGTAATGTATTTTTTGACGAAAGAAAATACCATTTTGAGAGATACTTGAATGCAAACCTCTGCCGTCGTTTTATTCCCCAGAGTTTACGACACATGAAGAATTGTTCGTGAGAAGTCAATGTACACCAACTTTTGTTTGGATCTTCTTTATTCCAGTAGCTTTGCCGGTGTCACAGGTCGTTGTGGTTGAACCACTGGAATATAAATTTGTTGTGTAAACGAAGTTCAAGTGAAGTTAGAATATTTTTTTGTCGAAGTTATACATTTACAAACGCTTTGCTCTTTATGAAGTGTGGGAAAAAATCTTTCCCCGAAGGTTTCGTGCAGTAGCTTGCAATGACACGTAATAGTTCTAGAACTAGTAATCAAAACTTTGATTTAAAAAGAACGAAAAGCTTGGAAAAGGCACTCACGAGATGTAAACAGTAATGCTCGTTTACGTCTTTCTTTCCAAATATTACGTCAGAGTGACGTGCTTCTCAGTCGATAGCAAAACAATAGGTCACGTTGGTGTCAGTTTTCAGTTAAATGAATTTTCAGAATCATTTTATTCAGCAAGCAAGTCTTCTTTGGATAACTTTGCAATATTTAGCAAGCGTTCTTTGAGGCAAGAGGGAGGAGTGCAAACTTAGATATGGCCAATGTTTGCCTTGTGAATCAGAAAAAATTGTTCTGTTAAATTTTTTGAAGTACTTTGTGACACGTGTTTTCTTGAGAAGCTGTAAAATTTTCATTTATTTCATTTGAGAGATACTTGAATGCAAACTTCTGCCATCGTTTTATTCCCCAGAGTTTACGACGCATGAAGAATTGTTCGTGAGAAGTCAATGTACACCAACTTTTGTTTGGATCTTCTTTATTCCGGTAGCTTTGCCAGTGTCACAGGTCGTTGTGGTTGAACCACTGGAATATAGATTTGTTGTGTAAACGAAGCTCAAGTGAAGTTTGAATATTTTTTTGTCGAAGTTATACATTTACAAACGCTTTGCTCTTTATAAAGTGTGAGAAAAAATCTTTCCCCAAAGGTTTCGTGCAGTAGCTTGCAATGACACATAATAGTTCTAGAACTAATAATCAAAACTTTGATTTAAAAAGAATGAAAAGCTTGGAAAAGGCACGCACAAGATGTAAACAGTAATGCTCGTTTACGTCTTTCTTTCCAAATATTACGTCAGAGTGACGTGCTTCTCAGTCCACAAAAAAACAATAGGTCACATTGGTGTCACTTTTCTGTTAAATGAATTTTCAGAATCATTTTATTCAGCAAGCAAGACTTCTTTGGATAACTTTGCAATATTTAGCAAGCGTTCTTTGAGGCAAGAGAGAGGAGTGCAAATCTAGATATGGCCAATGTTTGCCTTCTGAATCAGAAAAAAATTGTTCTGTTAAATTTTTTGAAGTACTTTGTGACACATGTTTTCTTGAGAAGCTGTAAAATTTTCATTTATGAAGGGGAACATAAAGTTTTGGGATTTTATAAGAAGAACCTCCTCC